ATGAAATTACATTACTACACAAAGCTTTAATCACTGTAATCAACTCACAGCCACAATTTTCTGCAACAATTTCAAAGTAAACATATGCGCCTTGGTAAAATTCTATCACTTTCATTAGTGGCTTGCTTGAAACATAGTGGAAAATCCTAACTCAATCAATTAACTGTATTCATGCTGTGTCATCAGTAAGATCACATCATCTTCAAAGTAAGGTATCTATCTTGTGTAAAAATATGAGCCAAAACTAAAGATTGTTCGGTTATAATGGCTGTTTGAACACAATGGATTCCTTAGATCAACAAAACAACAATTTCAAGAAAACAACATTTAGTATCAATTAAAGCAGACAAAAATATATTTTATATATATAACTAGCACGAACTTTAGACCATATATCTTAGGAGACTTGGAGTAACAAGAGAGTTACTAGAAGGTATTATATATACTAAATATACAGGGTGGGCCAAAAGTCAGTGTGCAAACGTTGGGTCTTATACTAGGGGTGGGCACGGATAGCAATATTTTTGGGTGATGTCATGAATTTTTAAACGGCCCTGTTTTTTGGGTAAAGGGACCTCCAAAATGAAAAAATAACTTGGTTTGGGGTCAAAAAAGCCCAAAATAAATATTTCCCGCCCCGTTTTCGGTTAGCGGGAGGGTCATTTTTGACGTTTTTGACTAAAATTGGCTTTATTTAATTCATTTTCACTTTTTACACCTCATTGTTACCAATGATTGTGAATCATTATTGACAAACCAGTTATACCTCCGCCGTGTTTTATATTTGAGAGCTGTTGCTTTGCAGATGGCATACTGTACTTACTGGTTCGAGGATTCCGTCGTCAAAATTTGAAAATTCGAATATTTTAGACCACGCCCATTCAATATTAAAACACCTATATTTTTTTCTCTGAACATGCTGAACGCCTAATTTTTTCAGAGACGGTAGATTATCAAATGTTGCATATGATCTGAAAACATGAGGCAAAACGGATTAGAAATGACGAAGTTATCAAGCATTTTCTGTATCTCGTTAACAAAATTGACTGGGTGATTATGTGACACCGTAACACGACACCTTAATTGGGCAACCTTAACAATTCCCATAATGTTTAACGGGGTAGTTAACGGGGTCACCTTATCACGTGATTAGGTAAACCAATCACCTGATCACACGTAATGAATAAACTCGTTATGCTTCATATCTCGGTCATCTGAGAAGCTACAGTTCTAATTCTTTCAGGACAAACGTAATTCAAATGGCCAAACACAATTCAATAACATTTAGCTTGATCCGACTATCCAAACTATCAAATAAATGTGAAAATGAACCTCCATTTGAAAAAAATGAACGCAAATATTTTTCGAGTTGACAAATTCCTCGAACCAGTGGTGGTACTAAGTCATACCAGAAGGAAGTATTTCAATTGGACACTCAGTGACTGAGCTATTAAGGCCAACGTTTGCACACTGACTTTTGGCCCACCCTGTATATATATGGACACGTTCATTTGAGTTTGAGGATATTGGTAAATATAAGTGACCCTATTAAAAGGCACAGTGTAGTTGACTTTGTCACACTATGAAATTACTTAAACCCTTGATGGTTAGGATAATCGTCTCATCCTCTAGGCTAACTTTGTCACATAACGATATCTTAATCAGGTGATAAGATATCGCTTAAATACGGCCGGCACGGAAATGGTTACATTGTCACACTATAAACATGTGACGGAGTAAATATGGACCCCTTGCTGCCGTTTTTGACCAAATTTTTGAGTGTCCAGTTAATTGGATGGGTACATATGACCATTACCTACATATTTGACGACTTTTTTCGTTAGATGGTGCATTCAGGTTTACTCTGTCACACATTAAAGAAAATATGTGATTAATGTTTAGGGCACCCTGACAAGCAATGCTGAGTAGTGTAAGTTTATTTGATGGCCTGGAAGTGCTGGGAATTGTTATTATATCATATAGTCGTAAGGAATTAAAACACAGAAGGCACAACCAAGCTTACTTTGTCACATAATCTTGATAATATCTGAACATGTGTGAAATTGAACAAATAATAATATACCAGCTTAAACCCCTTATATTATACGTACTATGGATCAAACAACACTGCTAGTACCATGCACCAGTCACATAAATCATTATCAGGTGGTAATATGTTAACAGTGTCACAATTAAACTACCGCTACATGGTCAAAAATAGGGTAATTTCGTCACAAAAAATTATTATAACTCTGTTAGCTCCTTGCTGGCAAAATAACTAGTTTATCGAAATTTTTTTGATGATAAAGTTACATAGTATTCTAATAGAGGTATAGTTCTTCAAAATAGGGGCAAGACATGTTTACTTTTATTTGTCACATCAGTTATTATAAGAGTTAGGTAATCGTCACCAGATTAAAAGATATTTTTCGTAGTTTGGATCGATTAATACTTTAATATACCTGTAATAAATCCTATGCCAATTTTAACACACTATCTTGATACTGTTGGGGCAGGGAAAGTTAATTTTGTCACATTTTCAATGTCTTTGACAAATTAATCTAAATTTTAAAAATTGAGTTCTTATGTTCTGGACAATATTCTTCCAATCGTTTCTGAAAGAATGTTGAATTCTAATAGAGTTATAGATCTTCAAAATAGGGGCAAGACATGTTTACTTTGTCACATCAGTTATTATAAGTGTTAGGTAATCGTCATCACATAAACATATATTTTTTGTAGTTTGGATTGATTTATATAGGTAATAAAGCAGCCTATGCTAATTTTTACACACTATCTTGAAATTGTTGGGGCATGAAAAGTTAATTTTGTCACATTTTTAGTGACTTTGACAAATTTAACCTAAAATTGTTAAACTTAAGCTCTGATGTTCTGGACAATATTCTAATAGAGGTATAGAATATAGATCTTCAAAATAGGGGCAAGACATGTTTACTTTGTCACATCAGTTATTATAAGAGTTTTTGATTGAAATAAATTTTCGTGCACATACAGAATGAATGGTTAATAATTTAATATATATGTAGACCAAGGTCTGTGCAGTTATTATAAGAGTTATTATAAGAGACTATTTCATTCTATAATCATTGTTTTTAATCTATTTACGATTTCGTATAAATTTTTGTGACAATGTAAACATCAACTGATCTTAACTTGCATCAACTACATTGTCATCATATAAAATTTTCCCGCCTTTCAAACCAAAATCAGATATAAATTATTCGCCCAAGATTTTAAATTTCATATATTGTGACAGAATTAACCTCATTTCCCAATAACCAAGTGCCTGTATTAGCTAACTATTCAAAATAACATATTTTAGGGCTATGCTTGGTAGCGCAACCATAAAATAATGAGTTGAAAGGGTTTTTAGGACAATCACAGTAGAATAGAGGCATGGTATCATGAGTGTGACAAAGTTACCCAAATATTGCCTTGTAACCGTTCGATCCGTGCCCATTAACCAATGTTGTATCATAATTGTTAGATTGACCTAATTTACTATATTTCAGACCAAGGAATGATAATTAGACAACTGCAGTTAACTAAGTCACACAAAATGTGACATTTGAAACATTATAGTGCCTAACAACAATAGATTTTCTTTCTGAGCGGTGCATAAGGGAGTATGGGTTACGTGGCTAATGTTCAGAACTTCTGAACGTGCTAGGTTAATAGATGTCAAAATTAAGCCACTATCGTCAAAAACGCTATTATTTTTGTTTACCAATATCCTCAAACTCAAATGAACGTGTCCATATACCTTTAACAAAAATACGTGGTTGGATTGATGGCACGAGACAAAGCTGCAACCCTCCAATTTCAAATTGTCCATACTATCACCCCACCAAGGACTTACTCTCACTATCAACCCCATTTATCAAAACGTAACATGATCACTGTCATAGGGGATCTGAGATTATTTATCCCACTACAACTTGACTCTTAGTACAACTGAAGAGGAAATCGAATAGTACCATTCTGCATTACCGGTAAGGTACTATTGCAAGATCTTAGTTATTCTGGCTGTGTCTTTCCTCATGTGATTCCCTTTCGTGTTAAACACGGATTGAATAAATAGGTTCAGTAAAGTTGACTTACTTTTTCCTTTGAAATAATCAAACTAAATAATTTCTTTGTTATACTGATATCAGTCTAAAATAGTAAAATGTTGGTAATGCACCAAATTCCAAAAAAAATCTTTAAGCTCTTAAAACAGATTAATGATATGTATAATTTTATCATGCGCAGACCTTGATTCACGATGTCAATCCTTCGCATCTCGCCGATCTGCATACTGTGGTTGCGAGAAGCATTATTTGATGCGCGCGCGACCCAGTAGTGCATCGCGCTACAACGCAGACCTTAACAGCTTAATCGAAACTCTCAAACAAAATTTATTATAAATTGATTTGACAACTTTTAATTAAATATTAATTCTTAGTCCGAAATTTATTTGGCGCGGCGCAGTGCAGCTTTGCAGTAGTTTTCCATGCTACAAGCAAGCTTAATAAGGGTTTAGCACGCACCCCCATGAAAAGTTACCGGCTGGTGGTGGTACTAGAGTTGGTTTAATTTAAACAGACGGCTTGACCTCGCGCGCGACAACAAGCATGATTTGCACGCGTGGCGTATTCCAATGTTCAGGCAGCTACCACGTGACACAATTCAGCCAACCAGAGTACAGGAATCCGCAAAGTTAAAGTTGCAAACTTTTGATCGGCCCGAAAGGGGACTTTTCTGGAGATTTTGATATAACTCAACAATTATTCACCTAACCATGTCCTTTTGCGCCACTGCGGGCGCGCTTGTTTCACAAGTCAAGAGGCGCGTGAGGCGGGCGCGCGCCACTGCAAGCGCAAGGGCTCTGGATAGAGCAACAACAATTACGTTGTCTTGAATTTTCCTCCTGGAGAGGTAACGTTACTTTTAAAAGAGGAACATGTTACAAAAAACCGAAAGTCTCCAACTCTTTTACTTTCAACACTACTATATAACAAATAATTTGAGTTCAGGGATAGCATGTATTAAGGCCCCCCAAGGGGAGACGTAAGTTTTCGTTGTTTTGTTGGCTGTGAAAGCTCTTACTGCATTACCGCTGCACACTTGTGTTTATTTTAGATCATAGATATAGCTGATTTCTACTATGTCTGGTATTGCTAAGAGGCAAGGGAGAAACAAAGCCCTCTCCGCCAGTTCCAGTTCCAGTTCTACACCAGCTCAACATAAAACAAAAACTGCTAAGAAGCACACATCATCATCCCTATCAGAGTTAGATGCTTCTTCAATAGCGCCCCAGCTGGACCTTACACCACACATTGCAATGCCAGCCATCCAGCACTCCCACAGAGATAAGAGGAAATGTCCCTGCGACCAGTCACTGGAATCGTCGTGGAAACTAGACTGTGCCAAGTGTGGACAGTATTGGCATGCGAACTGCGTAGGCCTTAATGGACTAAATAGTAAAATGCTCAATGATCTCACACAATGGCCCTGTCCCTTTTGTTTTGTATCACCTATTGCTACTATATCCACCCAAGTTGACGTCTGTCACGTCTGCAGAAACACTTTATCACTACAGCAGTCAAACCTGGAAGCAGAAACAGCACTCATTTCATCACAACTAGAACCCTTAGCCAATTGTTGCAAGCTCATTAAGGATATTGACTTTGTTCAATTCAGTAACAGAATTGACACACTTGGCCAATTTGACCAACGCCTTAAGCACCTCCTCCTAAAAGACCAGCCCTGGAAATCCTTAGACTCAGATATAAAGCTCCTTTCAGACCAGTTGGCCACTACCCTGGATAAATCACCCACACCACCACTCAACACCACAATTGAAAACCTCACAACTGCCTTACAAACTCATGACAAGACTTTCCACTCACTCACCAACCAACTAAATGAACTCAAACAGCAAGTCACATCCCTATCATCAGACATGACCACCTCACCAACATCAGATCAATCTGACAAGCTCCTTGAACGGGTGTCACAAGAGCTCAGAGAGGTATGCAAGCAGGAGCTGAAGCAATCAACAGCAAATCTGCAGCATTCCGCAGAGCATCCACTGACCATCCCTGGATTACAAGAGCTCAACACCCAGGTTGTAACCCAGCTGCCCCCACACAGTCGCCCGCCTGTCTCTAAACACACTCTCGATTTTATTGATGAGGAGACAGAGAAGGATCTCATAGAACTGCTTGATTCTCGCACATCTGAGTTCAAGAATGAGAATGGACGATCTGTTCTGGCTTTTGGAGAAAGATATCACTACACTGGCACAAAATCATCACCCTCATCCGACCAACTACCAGACCAACTCCAATCACTCATAACACAACTGAACAATGATCATCCAAACTCTCCACCTGTCAACAGCATTCTCATCAATCGGTATGATGGTCACTTAAGCTTCCTTCCACAACACTCAGACAACGAACCCCTCATTCACCCCGACTCATCAGTACACACACTTTCACTAGGTCACCATTGCACAGTCACTTTCAGCAAGACTGGCACCACAGAACCCTATCACAACCAGTCTTGTCCACCACGATCACTATACACTATGACCAGGGCAAGTCAGGATTTGTACGAACACAGAATTGAACCAGGATCTGTCGACTCCGGTGTCCGATACTCTGTGACCCTCAGATCTGTTAGTGCTCTAAACCGTGCTTCTACATGCATCATGGGAGATTCGAACACTGGTGGACTTAAATTTGGACTTGATCCTAAGAGATCCTTTGGAAAGTTCCTTCCTGGAAAACAAGTCTTCGCACCTACTGTAGACCACATTGACCCATACGAATCCTGCGGCTACAAAAACACTGTCATTCTCTGCGGACTCAATGATATTAGGCAGGATAATGTCAAAACTCCATCTGACATCAAACAAGTGTTCAATAAATTTACTAGTAAAATTGCTGAAATTCAAGCTGTCAATAAAAAAACTAATGTTTATATATGTCCGCTGCTGCCAACTAAATGTATTGATTTAAATAGAAGAGTCAATTTCTTTAACTATCTGATTCAAACCCAGCTTCTCCCTTTCAACTTTGGTGTGAGACTGGTAGAAGGGTTTCCAAACTTTGCTGATGAGAACGGGCTATTAAGCCAACACTTGTCAAAAAGGTTGACGAAGTTCCAGAAACCTGATTACTTGCACCTCAATTGGAGGGGGGTTGCAAAGTTAGCAGCAATCATTAAAAATACTATTCTTCTTAGAGTTAATGGTGGTCGAGACAGACGCAGAGCTGGACGAGGGGGGAATCAGGTGGACTCCACATCATTTCGTGATATAACTGCACGCTCTCTTCCTGCTGATAAACGAGTATCTGGTGCTCCTGACGGCTACCAACCGTCATGACTACTCTAACTAAAGAGGTATGTAAACACTGCTGCAAGGGTATCTATGTGGGCCAAGCCATAGTCGAGTGTTCCGAATGTAACCATGCAACTCATCATAAATGCTACAATATTGTCAATACCGATTTATGCGGTAACTTTCTCTGCAATACATGTGTAAATCTTGCTGTCAAACGATACAACCCGTTCAAATATGATATCTCCGACGAAGAAATCGATCTAGACGATACGATAACTAAGCTCTCGCAAATTTTAAACTGTTGTTCTCAGCTTAACAGAAGTCAAATTAATCAAACTCTAGAAACTTTAACCGAAGGTCAAATGTCAATGATGTTTCAAAACATAGACGGTAACAAAAGTAATTTTGATACTACAGGGTGGGCCAAAAGTCAGTACCCATACGTTGGCCTTTATAGCTCAGTCACTGAGTGCCCAATTCAAATACTTCTTTCTGGTATGACTTAGTACCACCACTGGTTCGAGGAATTTGTCAACTCGAAAATTATTCGCGTTCATTTTTTTCAAATGGAGGTTCATTTTTACATTTATTTGATAGTTTGGATAGTCGGATCAAGCTAAATGTTATTGAATTGTGTTTGGCCATTCGAATTACGTTTGTCCTGAAAGAATTAGAACTGTAGCTTCTCAGATGACCGAGATATGAAGCATAACGAGTTTATTCATTACGTGTGATCAGGTGATTGGTTTACCTAATCACGTGATAAGGTGCCCCCGTTAACTACCCCGTTAAACATTATGGGAATTGTTAAGGGTGCCCGATTAAGGTGTCGTGTCACGGTGTCACATAATCACCCAGTCAATTTTGTTAACGAGATACAGAAAATGCTTGATAACTTCGTTATTTCTAATCCGTTTTGCCTCATGTTTTCAGATCATATGCAACATTTGATAATCTACCGTCTCTGAAAAAAATTAGGCGTTCAGCATGTTCAGAGAAAACAATATAGGTGTTTTAATATTGAATGGGCGCGGTCTAAAATATTAGAATTTTCAAATTTTGACGACGGAATCCTCGAACCAGTAAGTACAGTATGCCATCTGCAAAGCAACAGCTCTCAAATATAAAACACGGCGGAGCTATTAAGGCCAACGTATGGGTACTGACTTTTGGCCCACCCTGTATGTGTATAGATCTTCGCCGATATAACAAAAAGTTTTCCATAATTGCACTTGCTGAAACAAATGTAGGACCTGAATTAAGTAGTTTGTATCAATTAACCGAATACAATAGTTTTTACCAAGCAACCTTTCGAGAGAAAAAGAAGGGCACCGGAGTTGCAATTTATATCCACCAGTCACTAAATGCAACAATCGATAATACCCTCTCCTATGTAAGTGAAAACCTAGAAATCCTATTTTTAAGATTCAACAATGGTAACTCAAGCACCTTTGTTGGAGTTTTATACCGCCCTCCGAGTGGCAATTTTGACTTAGCGCTAAGTGAACTAGCCGACACTCTGGACAAAGTCCCCAGACACTCGTATATAGCTGGTGACTTTAACATCAATCTTCACGGCGACAGCAACAAGGTTGCTAAATATGAACACGTTCTTTACAGTCGAGGCTTCTATCCTCTCATATCTGTAATGACCCATGAAAAACCCGGCTGTATTCCTTCATGCATCGATAACATCATTACCAATGATTTAGACAACATTATAACATCTGGCACATTCAAAGACAAAATCACACATCATCACCCCATATTCTTAGCACTCAACACACACCTTGACCAGAACGATTGCAAGATTAAGTATGAACAGTTTTATGACTACTGTAACTCTAACGTAGATAAGTTCACCGACAAACTATCCAATAGTCTTGATAACACTGTAATAAATTGTTTTGATACCTTTGCTGACACATTTAACGTTGCTTTTGACGAATGTTTCAAGTTAGAAACCCCGAAATGTACAAAACGCACTATGCAAAACAATCCATGGATTACACCAGCAATTATAACTTCAATAAATCACTGTCACGAACTATACGAAAACTGGGTCAAAGCTCGCAAAGTCAAGTGCAATCTAGGAGATACTGACACAAAAGGTGGCTTCTGTCACTGCGCAGTATGTAACAAAAAGCGCAGTGAGTACTTAACTTATAAATATTATAGAAAAGAACTCAAAGTTATACGTGAAAAGGCTCAAACTTCGTACAATATGGGTAAATTTAATGAAGTTCAAGGTGACAGTAAGAAAACATGGCAACTAATCAATAAGATACGCGGCAAAGGGAAACGAGAAATTAAACCCCCGTTTGTTATTAATTATGAGAAAATAATGAACCGTAGAATTATAGCTAACGAATTTAATAATTACTTTGTATCTCTTGCCCCTAAGTTGAATGAATCATACAGTACAACCGGTCAAATTAGACTAAGTCCAATTCAATGCTTTACGGACTACTTACCAAGGCCAAATACCTCAAGTATATTTCTCAGCGATTGTACACCAGAAGAAATAGAGAAAATCATTAGCGAACTCAAGAATGGAAAAGCTAGTGACATCCCTATTCACGTCATCAAACGAACGTCTAAGATTATAAGCCCACTCCTGTCAGTATTATTTAATGAACACATGAGAAATGGAACTTTTCCAGACCGACTGAAAATT